TTCTATGCTTGCAAGCAATCATCCAGGCAAAAGTGCTGTCCATATTATTCTACAGATGCATGGCCAAGTCCTGAACACTTTGAAAGCCTGTTGAGTCCTTGCAACATGCCAGGACCAGGCTAGGGCTTTATATAGCTCCCTTCATTTAGTCCTCCTGAACATCCTATGAGACACAGGAACTGGCTGTATTGTGCAATGGGGAAACTCACACTCAGAAGAGTTATTAACTTGTTCTGATATCAATCAGATCTCGTGGTAGTATGGAATCAAAACCACTCTAACTCAGAGCTCACACTGGACCTTTTTTTTCCACAAAAGGGCATCATTTGGAGTGAGAGGGCTGGTGTACATGGGCAGTGGCAAGACCACAAAGAGGACAAACATGTGACTTCCGAGTGCAATTCTTCACTTGAAATACGAGGTCAATTTAAAATCAGATGATGCAGGCAGAGCACATGCCATGATGGCTAGCTGAGGTGTCATTTCTCTCAATGCAACTTTCTAGAGCAATACTTCTCCTCACAGGGGGGACAGCACAGGCCAAGATAAAAAGCCTACCATCAGAAGCCGCAATATGTGGTCACCCTCATGGTTACTTCCATGCCACCTCTATCGTCATCACCACCATCTTTAAGGCACTCACATTCACTGGGCAGCCTCTACGTCCCACTCATTCTCACTATCACATTAAGGTGTGACTATTATATACCTACTTGGCAGATGAGAAAATTGAGACTTAGAAAAAAATAAGGAAATTTGGTCAAAGTCATAGAAGAATCAAGGATTCATACCCAGGAAATCTGGCCCCAAACCCATGCTCAAGATGCCAGAAAAGTATTACTTCCTAATTTTCGCCTCAAAAAGCTGATACACCTTAGCTCAAGGCAATAAAACCAGGAAGAATGACCCCACTCCCAAATGAACTTGCTTACCCTCCCTCCCGGCTGCCTCCCTAGAAACGAATGTTTTCTTCAGAGTCACCCTTCTCATGGTTTCTTCATCTTCGCACCACCTGAACTTGGGCTAGAAATAGTATATATTTTTTATTTTTGCAGCACTGGGGTTTAAACTGAGGGTCTCATACTTGCTAGGCAGGCACCACTTGAGTCATTCTGCCAGCCCCTGAACTTGAGCTAGAGAAACTGCTGTTGGGGAGACAGTCCTGTGCACTGTAGGGCTTTTACCCGTGCCCCTGGCCTCAATCCATTCAAGGCCAGTTAGCACCCTTAAAACTCTCTGTTCCAAGTCTTGACAAATCAAAAGTTCTCCTGAAGGAGGTGGGGCATAGCTTAAATGGTACAGCACTTGCCTAGTATATGTGCAAGGTCCAATCCCCAGTACACCAAAGGTTTCCTGACATTGTCAAATGGCCCATGAGGTACAAAATTGCCCCCAGATGGGATGGGATGGGATACCAAAGGTAGGGCCCAGGAACAGGTGGCCAAACAGGCAGAAACTGACAGAGAAGCACGGTGGACATGAGCCAGGCCTTGAGACTGACCTTGGGCACGTGACCATAATATAGGAATGATCACATTGTCTCCTTCACAGGGCTGCTATGAACAACTGCAACAAGGCATGCAAAACCCTTAGCTCAGTGACCACCTCCCGCTGAGTTACTGAGACCATAATGATTCTGATTGTCCAGTTGAGATTCACCTCACAGTGACCAGGAAAACCAAGAGCAGGTTTTTCCACATTTGCTGGTTAACGCAGTCCTGGGGGGTTGGTGCGGGAGGGATTCCTTATATTATAGGAGAGGGAAGGGAAGAGAATATGAACAAATGACTTCCTCTCAAAAAAAAAAAATTACAAGTCAAATGTAAGAATCTTCCAGCTCAACCCATCACACAGCCTTGGACCTGAGAGTTGGTGTACAAAGGCATACAGGTTCATCAGGGCAACACCATAGTCACACCACTTCATGAAAATGAAAAGTCAAAAACAAGGAAATGTCCAAAAATAGGGTAGTTAAATAAATTATGTTACGATGGATGCTGGAATATACACAGCTATTAAAGATGGGGCTTAGCTGGGTGCCAGTGGTTCATGCCTATAATCCTAGCTGCTCATGAGGCAGAGATCAGGAGGATCACAGTTCGAAGACAGTCCTGGGCAAAAAGTTTGAGAGATCCTACCTTGAAAATACACATCACGAAACAGGGCTGGCAGAGTGGGTCAAGTGGTAAAGTGCCAGCCTAGCAAGCATGAAGCCCTGTTCAAGCACCAATACTGCAAAATAAATAAATAAAGATGGGCTTAAATTATCAGCCAGGCATGGTGGCAAACACCTGTAATTCCAACTACCTGGGAGGTGAACTCGAGGCCACACTAGGGGGAAAAAATGGTAGTAAGATTTCAATAAACAAGTCAGGAATGGTAGTACAGGCCTATAATCATAGCTGCACAGAGGCATAGGTAAGAGGACTGCAGTCCAAGATTGGCCCTAGACCAAAAACACAAAGTGACATACTATCCAAAGCAAAAAAGGGGACTGGGGGCATGGCTCAAGCGATAGAACATACACCTAGCAAATGTGAGGCCCTGAGTTCAATGGAAGCCAGGCACTAGTGGCTTGGGCATCATTCTAGCAACCTGGGAGGCTGGATTACAGCCTTGGAGGGGCAGGGAAGAGTTGGCAAGATTCCATTTCAATGAATAGCTGGGTGTGGCCTGTGCACCTATCATCCTAAACGGTGCGGGAGGCTGAGATTGGGAGGATCCGGAGGCATGCCTGTCATTCCAGCCATGGTGGAAAGCATAAAATAGGAGGATCACAGTCCAGCCTGGGCAAAAAGCAAGACCTTATCTCCAAAATAAACAGAGCAAAAAGGGATGGAGGCATGGGCTTAAGCAGTAGAACGCCTTTCTAGCAAGCAAAAAGCCCTGAGTTCAAACCTCAGTACCACAAAAAAGACCAATTGTTAACAGAAGAAAGCACTTAGAATATGACACCAGCCTGGCACTGGTGGCTCATGCCACTAATCCTAAACTACTCAGGAAGCAGGGATCAGAAGGATCACAGTTCAAACCAGGCCCGGGTATACAGTTCAAGAGATCCTATCTTGAAAACACCCAACTGGCGGAGTGGCTCAAGTGGTGGAGCACCTGTCTGGCAAGTCTGTGGCCCTGAGTTCAGACCCCAGTACTACCAAAAAAAGAAAAGAAAGAAGAAAAAAAAAATATATATATATACATATCTACGTATACTATATATATACATATATATATATGAGACACCAAATGAGGCAAACAAGATACAAAAAAAAGATATACAGTATGATCAGTTGATTTGTAATATATTCTGAGGATTAAACTGTATGGAAAACAGTAAAATACTAACAATGTTGATCTCAAAATAATAGGCTAGAGGACTAAGATATTTTTATTTCTCCATTCTACCTTCCTTCATTTCCAAAGTCCTTTACCTACATCAACACCCCAGAGGCAGGAAGAGCCTCATGGGCAAGTGCAGGCTGTAGCGAGCTCTACCTCCTACCTGCTGGTGACCCTGTGCCAGGTATTAAACTTCTCTGAGTTAATAACACTTCTAATATAGCAAGGGGGCCCTAAATGGTAGCTGTTATTATTACCTTTATAGTGTAGGAGGGGTTAAGCCCTGGGAATAAAAATAATGGGTACTGACTGTGGAATAAAAAGATGTCATCAATTAATTGACTGCCTCCCCTGAGGGAGCTATATTACACTGACAAGGAGATAAAAGTTCACCAGGCACTTTTGCAAAACTCCTCTGTTAGAGTTAGCAAGACTCACAGTGAGCCATTTCCTGAAAATCAGCCACCCTCCTGAGATGTACTAAAAATAAGATCCTAGGATATCCCCCCAAAAAGCTGCCTGCTACAGAAGAGCGTGCACCACACCCTGGCCCAGACATCTGGTCCATAAAAGTGTGTGTAAAAAGATGTTGCAAATTAAACCTAATTTATGATATAACAAGAGACAGCTCTGTTTTACAGAATCCAAGAAATGGGTTTATCATGCCCCCAAAAAATAACTCCTCTGATGTTACTGTTCTATTTGAAGTTTTTATAAATTAGACTTTCTTAGTACAAGACATCTCATCAAATTGCATGCTCTGTCTAATAAACTCTCCAAATAAATGCCCAGAGGCTCCAAATACAACCCAGTACATAGTAGGTACATTAGCATTCTGACAAATCAATGCGTGAACAAACAGGGACCATCCACTGAACTGAGGAAAAGAAATCATAATTGCATATCATTATACCCAGATCCACAGAATGCACAACACCAAGAGTGAGCCCTAACGTAAGCTGTGGCTTTCGGGTGATAACAATGTATGAATGTGCCATTCTGGTGGAGATGTGGGTAAGTGGGGGAAGTCATGCATATGTGGATGCAGGGAAGATGGGAGAAATCTCTGTACCTTCTACTTAATTTTGCTGTGAACCTGAAACTACTCTAAAGAATAAATTAATTCTTTTCAAATATCACATTTGATAAAATGTGGCAGTGTATCACCTAAGTGTATTGACACGCAGTGAAATACACTTCTGCACACACATCACAAAACATGCATTCTCAAACCATCTGTTGGGAGAAAGGCTTTGGAACCAGAAGAGCAGGTTCACCAGGTTGTTACAGACAGCACAGGAATGTTCTGCTCACTGGACATTTTCTAAGTGTCAAAAGAAGCCTTTCTAGCTTTCACCTGATTCTTTTCAACAAAAAGAGCTTTTATCTACCAAACTAGAATAACTCTAAGCCTGTGATTTTTTCCCACAACTTTACAGTGCAGAAAGAAAATATTTTAAGGTAGCTTCACATACAAGGCCTCCAACAGGTATACAGTACTATATATAACTTAATTTTCATTTTGAAAGGTTATCATCACATAAGCCCCACTGTCACACTGCCTTCCCATAAATACCTGTAGTTAAAGCAACAGTGTTCCACGTTTTCCAGACAGTCCCTGTGTTAAAACAATTTATCTGTCCCCACCTCCAGTCTCCACTCACCACACATCCCAGCATAGGGTTCGAAATGATCATCGTAACTCAGTGGTTCCCAATCAAGTGAGATCTTGACCCCCAGGGGATATCTGATGACACGCAGACGCTTTCTGGTTGTTGTAACTGGGTGGGACAGGGAGGAGTGCTACTGGCATCTTGCAGGCAAAGGCAAAGGATACTGCTAGACACCCTATAATACACAAAACAACCCATCACAAAGCATTACCAGGTCCCAAACATCAGTGGTGCCAGGCAGCAAAACTACACTTGAAAGCTAAAGAGTGGAATGCTGAGAAAGTTTTTTTTAAAAAAGAACAAACTCTTGCCTCAGGACTGGAAGTTAAGGCTGAGTCTAAGCAGTGCTTTTTGGGGGAGGCAGAGCCCTCTATCCTTGCTCAGATAATGATGGATTCCAGCCAAACCTTTGTCTATTCAGCTGGAAAATGGGGCCAAAAAAAATACATGCCTCTCAAGATTTTTGTAAAAATGATTAAGTTCATAAAGTGTTTAGAGTGTTCCATGCCAGCACAATGCAGATACAAAATGCATTAGCACTGAGAGATCTTCCAGATTGTGACATGGCAATGGCTGTACATGCAGAGTGGCTTGCAGAAGGAGGCATCAGGCAGAGAGGAGGCTTTCCAGCACAAGGCAGAGCCCCCAAGAAAGCTCAAGGCAGATCAGAGTTCACTGAGAAGAGACACCAGTGACTGAGCAGAGTTTCTTGGGGCTACCTATACACCCCCCCCTCCAAGATATCCTGGGTAGAGCAACAAATTCCTAAGCAACAGCAGCAGGAATAAGGGTCAGGTAGCAGGCCACTCTTAAGTCAACATTTGGTGGGAGAAGGACAAATATGATCATAAAAAGAACTAACCAGAGCTTTTCTGAAAACCTCAAAGGAAAAACAGGTGGATGAAACCACAACCCCTTCCAATGTGTTGCAAAGTAATATGGATAACAGAGACTGAGGTATTCAAGGGCCTCAAGCAGGTCCCCTAAAATGCACACAAACTGCAAGACATCCCCCAAGAAAGCCATTACCAACCAGAAGCCAATCAAGATGGTAATAACCAATCCTACAGATTCAGAGCCTCACAAAAACCCCACAAGAGGTGAAGACCGCACGTGCAGTGGAAATTCTGTTTCCAAAGAACTGCTGCAGCATCTGCCAGGCCTCGTCATCCTCCCCATCCCGTGTCACAATCATGCTCACGTGCAATGGGAGGAATTTCCAGACTTCTGTTTTTCTAAAGCAGAATTCTGAGCAGAGTCTAAAAATTAATAAAGGTTAATGTTGGCAACAAATGTGAGAAGTTTATTTCAAAATGCTTTTTAACCCCAACCCCAACTAGAATGTGTGTCAGATGACAACCAGGCCATCATGACCCTCACTCTGGCCTTCAGATCCCAGACAACTCACACTGCTAAGATACGAATTATAAGACTAGACCCAGGTCTTCACCTTGGTTTTCAGTTTTTTCAAAATGTGTTTCAGAGTTCACCAAAATGTAAACAGATTATTGATTATTCCTCTGCAAACTGCTTTTTAAAATTATTCTATGTAAATAATTATTCACAGATAAAGGATGATAAAACTCAACTAGAGTCTTCAAATTCCAGGCCATGTACCATATAACCTTGGATAACTTTCCCAGCCTCTCTAAGCCTAGGCTTCACATGTGTAAACAGTGATACTCATCTACATAGGGGCTGGGGGATGAGGGCCACAGGGAAAAGGGTGGTAAAGTGGTGCAATTCAAAGCATTTGGTAAACAGAGCTAAAATCCTAACTCTCTTCCCAGTCCCCAATCATCACCACCCCCTCTCCAAACAGGACTACAGAATCCTTGAAAGGAAACCCTCATCCCCAGACTCTCAGCTTTTTAAGAACAAGGAGCCTGCCATTCTTGTCTACCAAGGCCAAGTTGAGGCCAGGGATCAGTACACAATAGATGCTCAATTACTATCTGTGGAATGAATAAATGAATGAACGTGATGATTGGGACAAAGAGGTCTAACTCTCCATTTCTTCATCTGTAAGATGGAGATAATTACCATATGTCCTACTGTGAAGATTAAATAAGATGATGGATGGGACATGCCAATTTAGGGACTCCACCTGGTGCATAAAGACAATAGAAAACTCAGAAATGGTTATACACAACATGCACATTATCCAGTGGTATCTTCATTTTCCCCTCCACTGAAAGGACACATGTAGAACCAAATTCATGCCAGGTGGCCTCCCCACAACCTTCCAGCAGGCAGCAGGGCACAGCTATTGCCTGCAGAAGGCCAGCAACAGGACCACAGGCACTGGCCCCACCTCAGTAAGGGTTTGGGAAGCTGGCTCCACACTTACAGAGAACAGTCACCCCACTCAAGTGTTACAACCGTTCCCCTCCTCCCATTGCAACCCAAGTAGCCAGGAGTGGTTCAACATCAAAAGATGAGTGGAGAAAAGGGAAGAGGAGTAAACCAAACCCTCACAAGAAAAATCTGAGAGCTACAACAGTCTTGAGCAAACAGTCCCAAAGTTTCACTAGGACAAGCAGACACTAAAGAGAAATTCTCTCCCACTCAGCTCCTCTTGGTGGGAACCAGAGACATAAATCTCAAAGGATGAGCCTGGTCACTTCATACTCCATGCTCACAGTACAAGACCACCATACCTGGGCAGAGAAAGCACTGCAGGAAAGAATCAGGTTCAAATCCAGGTCTGCCAAGCAGAGCCAGTGCCTAAGCCTCTCTGGAATCTGCTCTCCCCAGTTGGCAAAATAAAGAGGTTCTAAGGCCTCTCTTCTGCATCAAAAGTGGTCTATGTGTACAGAATCAAGTTCAAAATCCAGGCCTAACCCACTAAGACAAAAGACTATCCCTGAAGAACAATCTCAGTCTCCATCATTTGTGTAGAAAAGAAAAACTGGATGGACATCCCAAGGGTGCTGTTGAGAGCTAATCACACACATAGGATAAGAGGTGTGACCCTGAGAGGAAAGGACAGTGTTACATGGGGAAAGGGGAAATCCTGGAAGGTGCTGGGCAAGTAGGTGTGATCAGCCCCAGCACCAAAGGTATTGTCTCATCTTCTCAGCAAACACTTACGAAAACCTCATATGGTCACACACTGTCAGGGGCCAGGCACACAGAAGGGAACAAGACCAACGCCAACCATGAAGGCTCTACTCTGTCTTTGTCTGCCAAGTCTAGCTAGCCCTCCCCTCCCCCATAGTTTTGGTCACTAAAGACATGACTTGACCCATGTCCTCACCCTGGTTTTGACACAGTTATAGAAGCAATAGCAGATTAAGAATAACTAAGCTACTCTTAGTGACAACACCTTCTGATCTTACACAAGTCTCCATTTGCTCACATAGGAAATGGGGAAGGCAAGCACCTGAGCTGACCTACTGACCTTACTGGTAAGTAACCCTGTTATTTATAAAACCTAAATCCAGTTGATACATATGAAAGCATTATAAAAATGAGTAATTCCTTCTTCCAAAGTCACCCATAAGCCAACCAGTGTTAAAGATGGATTACAGCCCCGCTGAGAATCACATGCAACCTAGCTCCAGCCTGGATGAGCCCAATGCCCCTTAGGCCCTCACCATCCATCAGGCTCAACCTCAAAGCAGCTGTGAATCTGACCAACCGTATAGTGGCCCCCACTGAAGACAAACCTCCCACCTCCCCAGGTGGAACTCACTGAGGAAGTCAACCCTACATCCATCCAGCTGTGTGAAGAAATAGTTCAACCCCACCCAAGCAAGCACCACATGGACCTTGAAACAAATACAAATGCAAAGACGAGGGTGGCCCCACTGTCCTAGAAAAGGTTGTGAGGGCTGAGAGCCCTGCCCATCAGACATTCCTCATGTCCAGTCCCTCCTATAGGAGGAAATGCACCCAGTGCTACAGAAGCCCTCAGAGCAAACTGACCACCTGGTCCTGGAACTTCTCACACTGTCAAAGTAAGGTGAAGACTATATCTTCCTTCAGAGGGAGTGGAGAGAGCTGCACAATGGTCCTTTTCGAAATATCAAAGGCTTTCCTCACCAGCCAGCCAGGCGGCACGGACTTGAGAGCCACTTAGAAGCAGACAGATAATGGCAAAGTTGCTGCCGCTCCCTAAGCTTCCACTTCCCCCACCCTTAGGACAGTTAAGAGGAGTAAGCATGAAATGTAGCACAGAGCAAACACTCAGTAAAAGCAGCCAACTGTGACTGATCCCCTTCAGGGACCCCCCCCCCACTCCTGCCTCCAAGAATCCCACGATCCATTTTACTGGACCTTGCCAATCTTGAAATATCCTTCTCGATGGGGAGAAAGGAAAACAATTCAAGAAAGGAAAAAAGAATTATTCACTCATTTCCTTCCCTATTCTGCTTTGACCACCCACTGTCTTCTACAGGTGGCACCTGCTCTAGTTAACTGAACACTGAATCTTTTCTAAAGACAAAAATGCTGCTTTTGTCTACAATGGTTAATTCTCAGCTCCCATCTCCCTCTAGTCAGAAAGTATTGGTCTCCCCAAGCCTATGCCTGTATATTTCCAACCTGGGGGTGTAGTGCTGTTCTTCTGGAAAAGAAAAAGATGTGACTAAATGTAACCTCACTTATAAATATGGGGCTAAAAGAGAAAGTTCTGCCTAAAAGAAAGCTGCTCAAAGGCTGTGAAGACCATTATCTGCAGGCCTCACAGGTCAGTGCCTACTGTGTAGGAGTGTGCTCTTTCTTCTAAGGCAGCCCACCGATGTTATATTTATACTTTTACAAGACTTTTCATACCAAGAGAACCACAAATCATAAGAAAACCTTTTACCAACTGCAAGTCTGAATCCAGGGCAGGAAAACATGGATATCTATTATGTCTCTTTGCATCTTACATCTGGGCAACAACTTTCTAATCAACCAATCAATCAATCAATCTCTCCCTCCCACCCTCCATCCCCTCCCCACCCCCACACACAGAAGCAGCAATAAGCAAAAGACAGCGTGTCTGTCAGAGCCCAGGACCATAGATTTATCTTTGCAAATGTCTCCAGTGTCTCAATTGTTGTCCCCCAGCACCCTCTAGCTCCAGGATACTGGTTTGGAAGACAGCCAGGAGAGGAAGAAATTCCTGATCACATCAATTTCCAATACATTTGCTAACACTAGTCTTATAATTCAAAATATATCTTTCAAACTCAGAGACAGAAAGGAAAAAGAGAAAGATAAGAGAAGACATGCTTTCCTTGCCACACAAGAGCACCAGAGAATCTTTACCTGGATTGCCCCAAAATGAAAAAGCCTGTTCGTTCAAATACTAGGAAAATGCACCACGTGCTAGCCCCAGAGGAGCAACAATTCAGGACACAGAGTGTTCTATTCATGAGAAAAACATAAGAGAGATGTTTTCTTTGACTATTCAGAGCCTCAGTCATATCCAACTGGGAAAATAAAATTCATATGACCAAGAAGACACTAAAGAGACTCCTTATACCATAAATCCCATTGCTACAATGTCCCACCCAACAGTCCCGTGTCCCTCACAAAAGCTGAGCTCAGTCTAATAGGGATATTCAATTCTCAAGTATTTGAAGAGATAGTATCTTTATTGATTTAATAAATAAGTACAACTTCCAACTTGGCCTTTACAAAAAAAAGTAAACACTTTGAGAAAGAAAAACCCTGTATCTGTCTATCTCTCTCTGTCTCTGTACTCAAGAGCTTAGAACTGATAGACTCCAAAGGTCAAAGCACCTAAATCCTGTTTAAAATATTCTCACACTATTTCTCTGAATCTCTGGAGTGAGGCCTTTCAGTTTGAAATCCAGAAAGTTTCTTGAAATGCTCAGAAGCCATGGTCTTTCTGAAGCAAAGACTTTCACATAAGAAATCTCTGTGATAACACCATGTATCTGGGCATACTATGCGGACTAATGAAAAACTGTACAGCACTCATCAATGTATGCAGTAGGCAGTCAATAAATGGTAGTTACTACACAAACCTTGGAATGCTCAAGAAACAAAAAAATGCTGTTTCCTATCTTCCTATAATCTTCACTGAACACAATTAGTTCCTGAGCACCTACTGTGTGCCACACACTGATTTTATAGATACAGAAATGAAGAAGGCATAATGCCTGCACTCCAGAGATGAATGGTGTAGCTGGAAAAAAAGAAACAAGACACAGCACAGTAGACTGAATAATGCTCCAGAAGGAGAGCTCCAGGATGGACTTGACTGCCATGAGCCACAGAACTAGCTAGATAGAGGAGGGGAAGGCGGGTACACAGACAGTCTAAAAGGCCTAGACAAAAGAAAGAAGTGTACACATGAAGGAGGAGGCTGGGGGCAATCACAGGAGAAGAACCTAAAAGAAGAAACTGGAGAGAGAAAGCAGACAACTGGCCCATCACCCCAAGGGCAACAGGGGGTCAGGAAGAATGTTCAATGGTGGGATGCTATGATCAGATCTGCATTTTGGAAACATCTCTGGTTGATAGTGGTGAAATGGAAAATAAATTTGTGGAGGCTGAAGACAAGCAAAGCTGTGGAAAACATATGGAATCATGGTTGAAGCCATGTTCATAAGGAGAAAATCCAAATTTTAATTCAGGGGAAAGAATTCTGTTTCCTTCCCATAAAGATTTATTTACACTTCACCTGGCGCACATGCACATGTGGACACACATGCACAGTACCACAAGAGCCTTACGATGGGGTTCCTTGTGCTTTGTTGTTTAGCAAAACCCATGCTAGACGTGTACTCTAGTAAAAAGCAGCATCTATCTGTAGTTTGTCTCCAAAGGAAACAAACTGGAGGGCGGGTCACAGAAGTGCATGCCTGTAATCCCAGCTATATGGAGGACAGAGATTGGAAGATCACAGTTCAAAACCAGTCCAGGAAGAGACCCACAATCGGGTTCAGGTTTGGTGGCACAGATACCTGTTATCCCAGCTACTCTGGAGACAGAGGTAGGATAATCATGGTCTGAGTTCAACCCAGGAAAAAGCAGGGAACCCTATATGAAAAACAAACTAAAACCTAAAGGACTGGAGGTATGGCTCAAGTGGTAGTTCACCTGCCTAGGAATCATGAGACCCTGAATTCAACCCCCAGCACCACCAAAAAAAATTTTTTTAAATCACAGACTTGGAAATTGTTAGACTGGAAGGAACTCTTAACTATTATTGTCATGCCTGAGATAAAAACCCTTTAGTCTCACACAAGACAGGGTATCAAAAAGGTTTCAAAAATAAAATTAACAAAACGTGTAGGGTAGGGTGTGATGGCTCACGCCTATAATGCCAGCTACTATGGAGGCAGAAATAAGAAGGATCTTGGTTCAAGACCAGCCTGAACAAAAATCTAGCAAGATCCCATCTCTATGCAGAAGCCAGAAGTGGTAGCAACCACATGTGATCTCAGCTACACAGGAGACTGAGGCCACAAGACCCTATCTGAAAAATAACTACAGCAAAAAACAACTGGGGGCATGGCTCAAGTGGTAGAGTGCCTAGCATGAGTTCAAACTCCAATATCAAAAAAAGAAAAGAGCCAGGCGCCAGTGGCCACAGCTGTAATCCTACCTACTCAGGAGGCAGCGATCAGGAGGATCATGATCTGAAGCCAGCCCAGGCAAACAGTTCTGCGAGACCCTATCTCGAAAAACCCATCACAAAAATAGGGATGGCCGAGTGGCTCAAGGTGAAGGCCCTGAGTTCAAGCCCCAGTACCACAAAAAAAAAAAAAAAGAAAGAAAGAAAAAGGGGGTGGGGAGAGGAAGGAAGAGAGGAGAAGAGGGGAGAGGGGGGAAGGGGAGAGAAAGAGAACCTATAAAAGCAGGTAGATTAGCCATATTTTAACCCATGAATACCATGCCCAGAAGAGAAAAAGAAATGCTATTCTGGTATGCTAAACAAACCTTTGGAGATAAATTAGCAGCATGACTAAATTTAGCCATTGCTGTCAACTGCCTTCAAACAAGTGTAAAAAACAAATAAAAACTGAAAAAGAAACAGTGTTACCCCAAAAACGGATAAGAGGACAGCAGGAAGGAAGATCCCAAGGTCAATTCAATAAATCAATAAATCCCACATGTACACGCACACACACACATGCATGCACAAATGTTGTGTTTAGTGAAAGTTACGTGGTGAAATGAGTTTGGAATTAGACACGAGTTTAATTCCCAGCGTTGTCATTTGCCATATGACCTGGCTTCAGCCAGCTTTTTAACCTCTCTGGTTTGTCATTGCCTAAATAACAAATTCAAACCACAGGTTAGACATAAGGTTTGAGAGAGAGTGCTTAAAGTTGTTAGCGTATATAGTGCTCAAAAATGAAGACTATTACCATCAGTAGTTTTATAGAGGAAAAAAAAATCACTGAACCGATCAGAAGAAAATCAGAAACAAGGCTGTCTTCCCCAGAGCTGAGTGTAGAAGATTCTGTGTCTTCTACAGTAACATGGCAGAAACTGCATGTTCACTATCTTCACTGCTGTCAGACCCTCCCTCCAATGGAGGTATTACCTGGCCAAGAGCATCTGTCCTACAAACATTCACTGAGCACTCACCACATGTAAGCAGTGTGACAGCTGTACTGCAGGAAAAGAAAGCCAACTCTGTATTCCAGGAGATGAATCAAGTTGAAAAGACATGTCATGCCTCACAAAAAAGGAGTCAACACAGCAGGTACAAAGAGCAGTTGTGAGGATACAGGAGGCCAAGAAGACAAATTGTGTGGAAGATGTAAAGGATAAAGCAAATAAAGAAGATCTGAACTAAGCCTAGGAAAATTGGTCAAAGTGAGCTATGTAGAGGTAAGGGGAGGACTGGCCAAGCAGAAAGGATGGCACACACAGATTCACAGAGGCCAAGACGAACAGGAAGTGAGAAGGGGACAGCACAGATTGAGGCATGCTATATGGCTTAAAAAGCCATGACTGTAGACTTTCATCCTACACTCTGCAACATTCTATTTGCTGCTTATGCCACAGGGCCAAATGGGGATTCCTTACTGCAGTGCTGAGGCAATGACCAAAGGGCCCTTCCTCCAATATTATCTTCAGCATTCTGAGAGAATGAAGTTTGGAAAAGACTACTGTGTTCATCAGGACTCTGCCTCAGAAAGCCTACTTTATATATCATTAAAACAGAAAATATGGTACTACACTGATCAGATATGTTACTACACTTATCAAAACTGTACTGATCAATGGTAA